AACTCTGATATAGTGAGCACTATTCATAACCTAAGTGCATAATGTTAAAACATCTTATGTGACAGTGTTTCCTGTTCGTAGTGGTGCGCCTCTGAAGATGATTCTTTTGAATCGAAACATGTAAGGCGAATAAAGACTGAAGTGTTTTAAACCTGTATGTCATACTGGACTGAAAGTTAACGACTTTGTAATTAATAGTGTGACGGACCAGAATGAGACAAATCAAATTTGTTTTTATGGTTTTGTGAGCCAATATTTTTGTTGCGATTGTGGTTATTGAGTTACTTATGCTTAAGTTTCTGTTACAATTCCATAGTCAATAAGTTCGTGGAATGGCAGCAAAGCGCCGTTGCAGTTCACTACAGCGGATAGGTTGACGCACAGTATGATACCCTCTCAGGTCATCTCTCTTCACAGATAGAGGCAGGTGTGTGCAAACAGTGTAAGCAAATCTACGGCATCTATTGTGAACTGAAGTTAAATGCGAGTGGCGGAAATCGAAAATGTTGCAGTTTGAACAACGCGCAAACATCAAGTTCTGCCAAAAACTAGGCAAATCCCCTAGCGAAACGTTTGGCGTAGGTAGAATTGGCAGTTTTCCACACGACAACGCCCGTGCACATCGCTCTGTTCTTGTCCAAGAGGGACTGGCAAGGCAACAAGTCACCGTTTAGTCATACCCTCCGTACTCACCTGATTTCGCACCATGCGATTTCTTTCTCTTTCACCTCTTGAAAGCAAAGCTGAGTGCTCCCAGATTTCAGTCGTCCGAGGAGGTCGTCATTGCCACAAGAGTCGCCGTACGGGAATTTCCTGCCAATATATTTCAGCAATGTTTTCAGCAGCTATATCAGCTTTGGCAGAATCGAAGGCATCTCTCTCTCCCAGACAAGAACTCAATTCCTATTGGGTAATTTTAACTAGCCAAATTCATCATGCAATCAGCGCAAACCAATCGCATAAAGACACTTGAGAATTAAACAGTTTCCAAGATATAGAACACGGAACCCCACATGTGAGAGCGGTTATTTTCATTAGTTCATGGTCCAGCTACAACCTTCTGAAGACATTTTATGATAGCTATACATGTCAAGAAAACAAAATTTAACATCTTCGGCAAACTACGCACTTGCACCCCCGTGGTGACCTTGTCCCCTTCCGGTCATCCAAACCCCGTGTAAACAAAAACAAGACAGTTGTTTTTTTGTCCAGACAGGAGAAACAATTCATAACATGCTAATAAATCGCTCTCGCCAGTAAACCACTCACCCTTCTGAAATGTCTAAAGAGGACCATAGCTCCACGGAGAACTGTAACAGGTTTGGACTGTCACAGTCTCCCTAGGTGTAAATTTGGCCATTTTAATGCAATAGAAATTGACCAGTATTACAGCCTACCCAAACAACAAAGCAAAAAACATTTAAAATAAAACACACTGCTAAAGAAATGTCAATTAGCCATTTATGACCAACAGACGCAGGCTGAGTTGATACTCTGTCGCGTGCTTAAACTGAGATTTATCTACTACAGCACATAGAGGTGAATTTTCATAATACAAATCCACATATAGAAGAACATGAAAATTATGCAAATGTTTGTCATAAAAGATAGCACGGAATTCAAGTGAGGGAGCAGTGTTCAGTGTTCGAGCAATGAGATCCTCTTCATAGCTTCACGACTTCTACAGTTAGAAAGATAGCTACAAATTCAATGAGACTGAACTCTGTGAATTTGTATGCTTCGATCGAGGTAGGTTACAGCATTCGTGATTGTTTCACGAATTCTACAGTTCGAAAGATAGCTTCAAGTTCTATGAGATTGACCCTTGTGAATTTGTATGCTTCGGTCGAGGTAGGGCGACAACCATCTCAGAAGAGGAAGAGTTTTTTTTATCATTTATTAGAAATCTGAATTTGCATTCTATGAGCTAATTTGCTGTCATGTACAATAATTATTCTATTATACTAAGTTGGCTTGAAGAGCTGTAATCCATCGATTACGCCTCAGTTTTCCTGGAGATCGTTTGGCCAAGTTCGTCTTAGTCTTCTGTATTGTGTAGGTTGAAGGAGAGCTTCTATTGCGTTGTTGGGGTGAGATTCCAGTTTCTGATAATGTTTTTGGATTCTGTCTGTGATTACGGTTCTTACATATGGGATCTTGAGGTCGGTGTGAAGAGTTTGGTTTGACACGTACCAAGGTGCGTCAACTATGGCTCTAAGTATTTTGGATTGACTTCGCTGGATGATTGTTATGTTGGATTTGCTGGCGCATCCCCAGAGCTCAATGCCGTATGTCCATATGGGTTTAATTATTGTTTTGTAGATCAGTAGTTTATTATCTATTGTTAGGTGAGATTTCCGACCTATTAGCCAATTTATTTCCTTGAACTTAATTTCGATTTATTTTCTCTTCTTCGCTATGTGGTGTTTCCAGTTTAAAGTTGAGTCCAGGTGTAGTCCTAAGTATTTTACTACATCCTGTTGTTGAATGTTAACATGATTTAGATGTACTGAGGGGCAGTTGCCTTTCCTGAGAGTAAAAGTCACAGGCGCCGATATGCTTTCATTCACTTTGATTTTCCATCGGTGTAGCCATTTCTCCATTAGATTCAGATGTTCTTGTAAATTAGATGAAGCAATTACCGGGTCTTCTGACGTAGCGAAAATTGTTGTCTCGTCTGCGAACGTACCTATTTTTGTTAATTCGGTGGTCGGTATATCTGAGGTGTATAGCACGTAGAGGAGTGGACCCAAGATACTGCCCTGAGGAACTCCTGATTGTATGTTTCTTCAGTTTGATACTTCAGCGTTGATTTTTATTTCGAATTCTCTGTCAGTTAGGTACGACTGCAGTATTGCGAAATATTTGGCCGGTAGAATTCTTCTGATTTTGTAAAGCAAGGGGAAGAGTGAGAATAATTTGTCGTATTACGTGTACATTTGTAATTCAGAGACTTTGATTAAGATTTATTCTCCCGTTGAAACATCAGGATTCTCTCTTAAATTGTCACGGACAATGATCAGCTCTTAGAAATTACATTCATCATTTTGCCGCATGAATATCGCAGGCCAAGAATAATTAGCAGAGAACCAGATAAGTGTGCTAAGAACATAACATCCGAAGAGAAGCAGCCTAAAAAAAAAGGGAACAAACCTTTTTTGTAATCTATTCTCAGATGGGAGAAACTGAATGGATATCGGACAACACAGCCATGAGTAAAGGCATCAAATATCGACTGGGTGTTAGTGCTGGAATGGCTGGTCGTGGTGTATGTCCCAAGTCAACTTCTTTGAACCATTCACAGAATGGGCAACCTGTTTCACGGGAGTATCCAAAGCTGCCACGGAGCCTTGATTCAAGTCGAATTTTTATCCCGTCAGCGAGGGGGCAGACAGAACGGACAGAACAGTGTGCAGCGTTGCGGACAAGGAGTGGTAGAGGTCAATAGCAGTGAGGATGAAGATAGTGAAATGTCTGCCTCCAAACTTGAAACCATCAGGCAAAGAGAGCAAGAATATTGGCAGTGGAAAAAAGGAATACCTTAAATAGTGCTGGAAACAACAGTTCTGGTATGTTTCTGCGAACAATGATATTAAGTTGTAGTGACAATGTAATTCCATCTAGGTGATCTGCTACATTAAATTCATGATATCAGAATTCTTGTACTAAAGACCATCTGAATTCCGTGCAGATATTTTTACATTACTTTCCCTTGCCTGTTGGCAGGGATAGAACACAGTATACGCGATGTATATCGGACAACTACCTTTTTCTGGGACCCATATGAAGCTGTTCGTCCCCTCTGTCAGTTAATCAAGAGCATTTTGAAATTTTCTACACTTGAGAAGGACAGAGCATGTGGCACAGATGGAAGAGATGAGAACTACACGTACGTATAACTTTTTTTACCAGAAGACCCAAGGGGAAGTAAACCACTTGGATGACTGAGGCATGGATAGAAAAATCATATTACAGTGAATCTTAAAGAAATATAGTTGATAAGGCATGGACTGGATTGATTTGGCTTAGGACAGGTTCCAGTAACAGACTACCGTGGAAACAGCAATGAACATTTGGGTTCCATAAAATGTGGGTAATCTCTTGAGTAGCTTAGTCACTCTTAGCTTCTCAAGAACCTTGCTTAATGTGCTATTTATCCTCATAGATTGCGACCCTTCTGAATAGTTTTTGCTTTGATGAGACAGAATATAGTCTCCGAAACGCTATATTTTAAATAAAAAGAGGACGCCGATTCACGATGTTGCTAAGCAGAACAATATCTTTCAATTTTTTTATGCTTTACATAATTCAACGAATTAAAAATTAGAATATTAAGGAGATGAAGGTTGTTTTCAATATGATACGTCGGCTCTGAGGTGTTGCTTGCTTTTAAACGGTAACCCGTGACTCCCTCGCCGGTCTCTGTCCTTATTAACTGCATGTGGGTGTTTACTGTTCCGCGCATATACACGTAAGTCATCTCTGATGCGTGATTGTAGTTCTCCGTTGCTAGTTGGTACCATTGCTAGCTTATTTTGATGGCGGTATGGAGTTGTTTGTGTGGGTTCGTCTGTTATCCTTCTCTTGACTTTAAGCAAGGTAAGTAATTAAGATGCTGAACCGTGGAGAATAATTATCAGTCGTACCTTTATCAGATCTGAATACACTCCCTAGATTAACCAAATGCACATTGCTGCTTCGACTGTTGGAATTTGAATGCCTCACGTTGGTTTTTATGGTTTTAACTGCAAAACGGCACTGTTTTAATTGTTTCCAGGGGAGACGATTTTTTTTTTCATGTAATCTTTTCCTTTATTATTATATTTCCGTCACCTGAGTGTTAGTCAAGCTACGCTGTAGGTCATGTATTAAGTACTGCACGTTTCGTACTTTTCGTGGCAGCATTTATGCAAGTACAGCTTTTCTTATATTCAGATTTTTCTCTGATCTGCTAGTGCCCCGTACATTTGAATTTTCAGTATTTAGACAATTGGAGTGTTTATTTCCAGTTTTTATATTCTATGTAATGCCTCTTTTGTATTAAGTCTTATATAATTAAAGTTGTAGTTAAAGTAATAACATATTAATTATAAAGGTATATTTATCTGGGGAATTCAGGCAGTTGTGGAATTGTTGTGGAATTTGTTCTCTGTGTGTTTTTGAGGGGTGCCTATGTGGGTTTCTTCTCTTACCTGGTGCTGCTGTTCTAGTTGTGTATTTTGTTGGTGTATGGGTATGAGATGTTTTGTTTCCTCCGTTTTTCTGTGTCTTTTTGTTCTTGTGCTTTGATCTGAAATACTTTTGTTATTGTTGTTGTTTACATATATGTTGTACAGGGGAAATCCTGTCCGCTGTGTTGTCTCTCTCTCTGATTGTATTTTGTTGTTTGTTGTGATTATTTAGTAGGGTCTGTTTTATGGTGGTGAATTTCCTTGTTGGTATGTATTTTTATAATTCTTCACCAGCGGTATATGCCCAAACTGTGATGAACTTGTTTGTAGCATTACAGTGGTAGTTCTGGCATGCAGCCACCAAGGAACAGTGATTCTTGCTGGAAACCATAAAAGTATCAGGTTTCAGAAATTAAGTTCCATCCCCGTTGTGACCAGCTGACAAAGAGAAAGACACAAGCGTATCAGCCACCAAGGGATGGGATGTGTGTCTCATCGCCACGGAGCTGCATGTGCGCCACCACCAAGGTTTGAATGTGAATAATCACATGAGGATGTGTGGTAGGATATTGTTTTTAGAGTTTGTGGAGAATCCCTTGTTTTCCTGTGTGTCTCAGAAAGGTTAAAATGTATTGATTATATTTAGCAGAGAGTACAATTTCTGAAGCTCCCCATTATGCAGTTTTCTGCAGCCTCATATTATTTCATTCCTCATCTGTCCAGATATTCTCAACATCCCGTTGCAATTGTTCAACTTACGTCCATTATTTATCGTCCGTCAGTACCTTGACAAGTGGACTACAGCATGTGATCTGAACACGGACTAGGAGAGTGTAGGTGTTTTAACATAATTTAATGAAAAATGTTTGTAATATATCAGGACACCTGAAGATAGCCGTTTGGGGCCAAAACATGCAGTGTCTAAGTGTATAATGTTAAACTAAAATTAAAATTAAGTAGTGAACAAATAAGTGTCGCAGTATTGACGGACGATAAATAATGGACGTTAAGTTGAGTAATACAGTTTAAATGGGAAATTTGTTGCCAGAGCCAAATTTGATGACATTTGGTTCAGGTATTTAAGTCATGTTAAGGTTATCATCCGAAGGATTTGAGAGGCTTCAGTGTTGGTATTACTGATGAGAGGGATTTCTCAAGTGGTCAGTTGAGATGGCCTAAGGAATCGTGATATACGTACCAAGTTTCATGAAGCATGAAGGCCGGTAAGCGTGTTCAGCAATTTTTAGCGGTGATTAACGAACACACACACACACACACAGCCAGTTGATCTCGCGTCTACTTCTGATTTTTAGGAATATGGAAATGGACCAAAAGGAGAAGAGAACGACACACAGATATGGGGCAAAAATGTACATATGAGATTTCCTCCTTAATAGCAGATGCCTGAAAAGCATAATTTTATAATAACACTAACTGTAACAAAATACTGTAACTGCATGTTAGGCAAAAGTGATAAACGTTCAATTCATAACTGTGAGACATATTTACATTGTTACATACTTCATTTGCAGCTAAGGTGAAGCAAACATGACATGTAGCAGGATATTTTGTTACAGATCTGCCAGTTCTTATTGTACATATTTATTTTTTAGGCAAAATCTTCAGGCAGCAGAAAGGAATGGCATCAAAGCGGAAGAAGGTTTATGATGAAGGTGACCCTCCTCCTAAGAAAAGCGAGGCTGATGCAACTGGAAGAAACTGAACAAGAACCTGTTCACTCGCTTGGTAATAGCACCAGTAGCGCACATTCAAATTTCCTGCTAAATGGCAAAGGGGATGATAAGAATGAGGATGTCCTGGTCTTAGATGCTGATTGAGACCTTCTGTGGGAGATGGTTGAGTTATTAAATGATTTGAAGTTTGAAATGTCTACTTATGTAAACAGAAACCAATAGTCTGTTATTTTCCTAGAGCACTCAGATGTGTCAGAACTAGTTGGAACTTGCACGATTAAAAGAAATGTTGTCACTGTGCTTAGTTTCTTGACCTCAGCACTGGATGGAGGTGAGTGGTCAGCTTCACTCCCCTCCTGCTTTACCCGCAATAGAGATTGCAGAACTGGTTTATTACATCGACTTCCACTCTTGAGAGAGATTAAAAATGGGAATATTCAGAGGACCCAGCATGAGTGTGTCAGTGTGAAGGAAGAAATAGCAGGCAGTACGTATGTTTGGTGTTGACCTACCAGACGTGCCAGATACACGAGTATGGCCTTGGTTGGCAGCATTACATTCATAACATCCGCCTGTATAGATGTACCAGTAGTAAATTTAGAAACCTATAAAAGGGCTGTCAGAATACAGCATCAGATGTTATTTGCTTGATTTACTTAATTGATAAGCTGATGTATTTTGACACTGAAATGTCATCATCAGGGTGTTTCATCAGAATACGCTTGAAAGCTGTTCAAGGTTCTTTTTATATGATTTTATGTATATTCTAAAAATGTATACTGTACTTAGTAAAACAAGTGAAGTAATAACATGATATGATTCCTTTATGCAATTCAAGCCCTTTCAGGTGTTACAAATTCATGTACAAAATCTATATAAACAGTGATATGTTTTTTGTGTGTTGATAGGCCGTAGTGCTATATGTTACAGAGTTCTGCTGAATTAAGATGGCATTCACATCCTTACTGATATGAAGGATGGCTTCATTCCTGTAACATATGAAATTGCTAGGGTTGTGTGAGATGTCCCATTTGTCCTGATGGGAGCCGGGGTTAATTTTTTAAATTTACGGTGGATTACAGAGTTACACAATACAGCGTGAAAGTTCCAGCAACAATTTTAGAATTGTTCCACTGTTTTTGTAGGATATGCTGTGGGTCTCAGAGGTGGCGCTGCACAATGCATAGGAGCTACGGAAGTAGCAGAGGAAGCTGGTGGCAGAACAGTTTTTGAATCAGGCAAGAGGAAACATAGTCAGATTGACAGTTGCTCAGATACTGAACAATTTTGGGGCCCACAGGAAGGCCATGTTGAAAAGAGAGCAGTGAAACCAATTGAAGTAAGTAGATTTTGTTCTGATATGGCAGGATACACAGAAATCAAAACCACCTTACAAGTAACATTTCTAAACTGTCAGTTTGAAGGAATCTGAAAATTTGTCAGTATGGTTCAGTTTAGGGTTCTGAAGTCTTTAGGGTTTTATACTATTGGTGTACATAGTAGATATGTTTATACTATCAGTATATGTATATAAGTTATATACAGTTTATCACTAATGATCATCATTGGCTCAAACTTTTTTTGTGATTGCCATATGCACTTCCATTTCCATAAATTAACAAGAGGTGAAGAAAGTGTACCTGTTTTAAAATCAGCTTTAATTGCTGAAATTCGAGGTGAAAACCAAAACTTATCTGCAACTGAAGGAACAACTGTGTCAATGGTGTACCAAAAATTTCTGCAACTGAAGATAATAATGGTGCTGTGGTGATATCAAAAGACATAAGGAACACAACTCAGTTAGTGTTTAATAATTCTGAAGGCATCTTATCAGATAAACATAATTTTTCTGTTGAACCTGCAGTAGATAATTTAAATTCTTTTATCCAAGGTGTGACTAAGCCCAGTGTGATTATCCCTCACCCTGTAATCAGAGATTTGGAAAACAATTCCAAATCATCACTTAGCACATCACT